CACATACTTAGAGCAAGAACTGGACGAGTGAATGATGAACAGTGTTTATATCTGGCAGAAGAAATACATTGGTGCTATAATGTGCTCAGGTTTTACAGCTTAACTTGAGAAAGATGATGATGTGAGAACTCCTTCCTTGACTGTCCTTTGGCTGCATGGTTGTTTCACCAGGTGTGTTGCTACATCCTGACCAAAAAGAAGCAGTGCTGCAGGTTACGAGTTCAAATGCACAAAACCACTGAGTACACCTTAAAAATTTTGATGTTCCTTTTTAAAACTTTATTAGTTTTTATGTGCTTTTTCTTCTGTCCCTTTAAATTTCAAGGTCTGCTCAAAGCATATTTTCAAGCTTGCTTCCTCCCGCATAACTACAAGGGCTAGGAATCCGAGGTCCCAGTGAGCTGAAATTTTTAGGCTGTCACCTAATGGCATCAGCAAAGAACTTACATGGTCTTGTGACAGTTTATAGAGCTAAGATTGTTTTAAGCTGTGTAGTATTTAATTTAGTAGTAACCACTTCATTTTATAGTTAAATACTATATTCAGTATACTTCAGTAGTAGCCAAAACTACTTTACAAAATAAGTAGGACAGATGAAAAAGCTTCCTGCGTTGTGCTATTAGCACTAGTAATTTTTAAGGAAGAAAGGAAGGCTTACAGGGGTTACGAAAGAAAGGTGATGCTAGTGTGGTCATTTGATTGCCCAGTCCAACAGCTGTAGATTCCTGCAGGGTTAATTCAGTTGCCTGGCTGCATCAACTGCAAGTGTAAACTGGAAGATAAACAGAGGGTGTGAGATAGTGGCTCATAGCAGACACCACACTGTACTAGAATAAAGATTAATTGTAAGTAGTGATGCACCTCTGACAAGGATGGGGGTTCCCTGCTTCCCCCAGGGGAAGAAAATATTACCCTCAGGTCTTACATAGTTAATAGATCATATACCCAAGTGAGTCTTTCTGGTGGGTTGATGGGACCTTGGGGGGATCTGTCTATCAGTAGGAGATGCAGGCTGATCACTGAGGTTGCCTAATACCATAACAGAGTCAGTTTTGTTTAATTTTAACTGTCCTCTGAGGGAGGTGGGAAGTTGACCCACAGAAGTTAGCTTAGATTGCTATTAAAAAAATGCCCATGATTTTTTTGCAGCACTTAGGTATCCTTTTGCTTGCTTCCAGAAAATTGACCAGCTGACACCATGATTGTACTGGGCTCCTTGTTCCTTTCACTGTGTAGATCACTGTAGGGTTTTAAGAAAGAGGAGGAAATTGAATAGTTGAGTTCCAGCTTTGTCTTCCTTTTGTTTAACTCTGATTGACATTGACTTAAGGGAGGGAACCATGGCCTCTGTTGATGGGCTTAAATCTGCTTGCTCTTGTGTTGAAGTAAATAAATTGGAATGGAACTGCTGCTTTTCCGTCTGAACTGTGTCTTCTCAATTTTCTATTTTCTTGCATCTCTGATTATGGGAATTTTCTAGTGCAATATTTGCATTGTAGGAGTTTGTTTCCCTTTGATTAACTTTCTACAACACTCAGCTGTTTTAAAATAGGATGGAAGAGCTGGAAGATGCTGTCATCATTAAAAATACACCCAGAATAATTTCTTCTGTAAACAAGGCAATGGTTCTGTTTACTAAACCAGATTAAGAGAGACAGTCTTCTTAGTGAAGACTTTCTTGGCCACAGAACTTTCTCTCAAACACGGAATGAAGCCAGGCACTGGGGGATGGGATGGTAAGAAGATACTTATATAATTTAAGACCTTTTGATGTGTCTGAGGGCCAAGTTAGATACACTCTTAATGACTTGTTGTTTGGAGCTGGGGTGGACCCATTATCACATGTGTGCCACGCTGAGTGTCCTTCATGAAACACTGGAAGTTTTGTTATAGGTCCCTTTTGATCCTGTTTGAAAAATGATGCTGACTTCTGTTCTCTTGTTTTAATGATTTTTTTTCCAGGTTGTATGAATATCTTTGTAAATGCTTCACAAGTGGAACAATATCTTTTCCTGTCTGTGAAAAATACTGTTATGAATAATATTTTTGGTTTTTAGTAGATCCTTTATAGGCTGCTTTTCCTTGTGTTTTTCTCTGTTTTGTAGCTTGGTCTGACTCTTCAGCAAGGTTCTTTCTTACACTGAAGTCAGAAAAATCAGCAATTTAATCAGTTGCTAATTTAGCAACTTTATCTGAAGAGCTGATTTGTTATGTTCTGTTTAACTGAAGTTGCTTTGATTGAATTAGGGAGTAAGGATGCATGCTTTAGTGGGGTGTTTTGGCAAATCTTTTCAAAGCAGGAGCGGGTAAAAGTACTGATAGTGGAAGGAAAAAAAGCTACTAGAGAGTGCAGTGTCTTTTTCAAGTAAACAATAGCATCACTTAGCTTTGAAAAGATTATGGAGTCCAGCCATTAGCCCTGCACTGCCAGATCCACCACTCAAACATGTCTAGATGTGGCACTTGAGGACATCTTTTAAATACCTTCAGAAATGGTGACTCAAGCACTTCCCTGGGTAGACTGTTCAGTGCTTGACAACCCCCACAGAGATTTTTTTTTTTTCCTAATACCTAATTTAAACATCCACTGGTACAACTTGAGACTGTTTCTGCTTGTCCTGTCTCTTTTTTCCTGGGAAAAAAGTCCATCCCTCACCTTGCTACAAATTCATTTCAGGTGATGTAGAGAGTGACAAGGTCCCCAGTGAGCTCCTGCTTCTCCTGACGCTTCACCAGCTTTGCCCTTCTCTGGACTGGGTCTGGCACCTCAGTCTGTCTTGTAGTCAGGGGCCCAAAACTGAGCACAGGGTTCAAGGTGTGGCCTCACCAGTCTTGAGAACTGTGATGTGAGTGATGTCTTTCTCATCTTGCTAGCCACACTTCTGCCGATCCAGGCCAGAATATCATTGGCCATGTGGGCACACACTGGCTCATGTTCAGCCAGTGTTGACCAGCACAGCCAGGTTCTTTTCTGCCAGACAGCTTTCCAGCTACTCTTACCCCAGACTGTAGTGCTGCTTGAGGTTGTTGTGACCCAGACAGAGGAGTTGGACTTGGCCTTGTTGAGCCTCCTCCAGTTGGCCTTGGCACATTGATCCAGCCTGTCCAGATCGTTCTGCTGAGCCTTCCTGCACTCCAGCAGATCAGCACTCCCACTCGGTGTTACCTGCAAGCTGAGAGGGTGCACTTGATCCCCTCATCCAGACCATATCTTTCCTTTAAAAATATTAAACAGGACTGAGCTCTGGGAACCCCACTTCTGACTGGCCGCCAGTTGGATGTAGCTCTGTTCCCCACCCGTGTTTGAGCTCAGCCAGACAGCTTTTTACCCAGTGGAGAGCACACCTATCCAGACTGTGAGCAGCCAGTTTCTCCAGGAGAATGCTGTGGGAAATGCTGTCTAAGACTTTATGAAGGACTTGGTACACAGCATGCACAGCCTTTCCTTCATCCTCTGTGCAGGTCACCCTGCACAAGGAGATCAAGTTGGTCAAGCCAGACCTGCCTTTCATAAACCCATGCTGCTGGGCCTGGTCCCTCATTTGTCCTGTATGTGTCTTGTCATGGCACTCGAGATTGAGCCAGTGGCTGTTAATGACACTTGACTGAACCCCGTAGGTGAGTTTTCCTTTATTTTTGGAGTTTTAGGGAAAAACTCATACTGAATTACTGAAAATTACTGAAAAACTTAGGGATTGCTCTAGAAGGTGAGAGTGGCTGTCAAGACAAATTTGCAGTGACCCTTCAAGTGGAGTCAAGGGAATTGGAGCTGAAAAGCAGCAGTGCTACTTCCCAGAGAGAGTTGGAAGGTTGGAATTGCAACAGCTGCAGCCTATGAAGTATTTCCTCCAGAACAGAGCAGGATAGCATGTAGGATATACTTAAGGTTGATAGATTCTACCTTGTTCATTGCATGGCTTTGCTACTGGTAGATACTGTTATAAAACCACATCTCTAACTCTACAATAAAATTCTGGTGAAAGATATGAGTGGAAAAGAGTAAGGAAGTAGTGGCTTGTTGCACTCAGGTAATCATGACAAAGTTAGGGGAGAAGTGGAATAGTAGAAAGCTGTACCTGTCAAGTAAATTTCCATGGTAACTTGTGGTTGGAATTGGCTATTTTGGATTTTCACAAGATTAAGCAACAACAGTTCATTCATAGCTGCTGAAAAGGCTGCTCACTGTCTAAGAGGTGAGCAATACAGGGCTTGATTTTACTTGGGTCTGTCTTGCCAGATAAGTGAGTTTCTGGTATTTCTGTTTTTCTTTTACTAGACTGTGCAGTGAGGTAAAAACTCTATTTGAAAAATTGACACGTTCTTTGATACTTCTCCATAATTTCACGAGTTCAACAGATGGGGTCCTAACTTTCCTTCCTCAGTTTGCAATGTGTGGAAATAACATTTTTCTGTTGCTTGAGCAATGAGGTTTGGCTTGTGTCAGAAGCTGAAAGCTGTGCAGGCATAAGCAGACAGTTTCAGTGCAGCTTTTAGTGTCAAAACTGGACTTCAAGAACATCCAGTGATCCTAAAAAAAGCAGGAGAAATTTGAGGCAGCTCATACCCTGTTCTGTTTCATCAGCATCAGCCTATCTGCCTCCTGCACTTGCCAGTGCTTGTTTAACTGTGTAATTATGGAAGCTGATAGTGTGTGACACAAGAAACAGGAGAAGCACAGGTTCTCATAAAGACCAGCTGGTTTCTTTGAGCTGCCAGTGGACAGAAGAGTTTTACTCTCACGTGACTTCTGAGAGAACCTAGAGTGACGCCATGCTTCTGTGCCGAGTACACACACATGGTAGGTGCAAAGCAGCATTCAGCTCCTGGCCCTGGGTCTTTGTGTAAGAAACCAAAGTGGAGGGATCACTTCAGACTCGTGGGGGTAGAGAATGTCAGTAATAACAATAACTTTTCTTTTGTTGGTTTCCAGATGCTTTAGAAAAAGTTCATGCATTAGTTTGTCTTGTGTTTCAGTTTCTTTTGTTTTTCTTATGTTTCAGGTTTATCAGTCATGAAACGAATTCTTCTGGTTTTTATCCTGGCTGCTGCTGTTATGTATGGTATCCTGCATGGAAATCTGTGGAGAAATAACTTCTACTGGTATGGTGATGCTTTGTTCATTTAGAGTGCAGACACTTCATGGCTGTATGAGACATGTGGCTGTGAGTTCTTGTGTTGCTCCGTAAGTGTTTACTAGTAATCAACATAAGTGATTACTACTCGGTCCATGTGTGTTTTGTGGTTGAAGTCTTTTGGTACTCTGAGGGAATCAATATGATTGTCCTGTCCTGTCACCTGTTCTCTTGTGTCAAAGCTAGTAATTAATTTACGCCTGGTTGTATGGAGAGGTCAGGACCTCAGTGGTAGGGAGCCCCTCTGAGGTTCACGAAAATAGGTGCTCAGGTGAGGAGTTACATAAGGTGCAGAAATAAGGTGTCCACATCTCCCTCCACCCCAAGTGGGTTAGTGTTAGTTTGTTCCATTAAATGTCTGATAAGTGATGTGGCAGAGGCCTTCTCCACACGTAGGAATAACTGCAGGTGCAGGGGGCACCTTTTGAAAACCTGGAATTTGTTTAGGCCCACCAGCTGCCATTGAGGGCAGTGAGGCTTCACTGTCTCCAGGCTCACGGGACAAGTGGCTTGGGACCTAAAATTTGTGGCACTTACTTGAAGAAGTTGAGTTTTGCACAGCTGTAATCAGGACTGACCAGAGTGTTACGAGGATAAGTGATAATTTTTAAAAGTGTACGTTAATGTGCTCCCTTTATCTTGTTTATGGTGTACAATTGATACGAATAGCTTTCTGTTGTGGTTTGTGTTTACAGCAAACCACGGTGTTGTGACATTTCCCTTTTTGCAGGATTAGCTTTTATGGACAGACTTCCTCTGTGAGGGCTTCTCCTTCCTATGTGACTAGTGGAGTTACAATCAGTTACAATGAGTAAGTTCAGCAGTTGGGTATTTTTGTGGTGGGGTTGTTGGTTTATTTTGATTTTGGATAGGTGGGAGGGATTCAGGCTAAAATCAGTAGCCTTTGTCAGTAGGTTTCCTGCTCAATTGTACTGCTGTGTCCAGTGGCTGTTCCTGTTATAAACACAGTGGTGTTTGTCAGAAAATTCTGTCTTTGTGTTATGTTTCCAGTGTTTGTTTAATATTTATGGCCACTTCCAATAATTGTCTTTAACAAGCAGTGAGTTGGTGGAAGGACATTGGTTTATAATTTTCAAATCTGTGCAACACTGTTATACCTGAGTAAAGTGAGCACAGCTTGGAGGGCAACTTCAGTGCTTAAAACTTACTAAACCAGAGGTGTTTCACTTGTTGTGTTCAAGTGTGTGTATAGACAGCTCTTATGCTTGTGACTTCCTGCAGTTAGATTTGTGGGACTGATGAGTACCTATACTAAAACTTGAAAGCAGACCTCTCTTCTCTCTGAAGCTGTCCTGCAAAATGCCATCTGTGAGGCTGATGCTGGAAAGCATCAAGGTGGCCAGCTTATAGATCTCACAGGGTGCTTTCTCAGTGTCAGTAGTCACGTAAGAACGTGAGGTTACCAAAATCAATTAACCTTAATGGTCTTTTTGACTTGTGGTTCTGATTGGTGGTTTTCACTCTTCTGTCCTTGATGCAATCCAGCAGCACATGTTGCTCACACTGAACTTTACCATCCCTTCTGGGCTTTATATTTGTGATTAATTGGGCTAAATCTCCAAGTCAGGAATGTGCTTAGAAGTGTAAGTCTTAGTCTTATTATGAGTGGAATGACTTATCCCCAAAGAATCTCATTTTCCTTAAAGTACCCTATTTCATTCTCCAAACAAGATTTTGTCTCTTCCCTGAGGAGTGATGGGAATGCTATCTGGAATGGCTGCAGGGGTGATTGAAACCAGGAGCCCTGCTTCTCTGGAGGTTGGCCTCAGTTCTCACTTTTAATTATGCCTGCTTTGATACTTGCTGAGCAAGGGAGCAACAGTGTGAAATAAAAGCCTTTGCTTATAAAAGTAATTGTGCTGCAGTGAGAAAGTTTCATCTCTATCAGACAGGGGGAGGAAGTAATAAAATCTTGGTGTGATCTTAACTCAGTAATCAGTTTTTACAAATCTGATTTGTCCTAGTTTCCCTACCTTGTTTCTGCTACCCATTCCTGTCTTGCTATTTATTTGGAATTGTTTTTTTGCAGGTTGCCACCTACGGCTGTAGAGAGGAGGAATGCATTGGACACTTGTCTCCTGAAACCAGCATTTGAATCTTTACTGGGGTGAGTCTTTTGTGGGAATTGGTGGGGGAGAAGGAAAGGCTGTGCTGATGGAGGTAGAACTGGGCTATTTACACATTTTGGAGCAAACATTGAGTAGTGCCCTGAGAAAGCTTGGAAAGATTAGACCAAGTCCTGGCTGCAGGAGTCTTAAACCTCTGCACAAAGACACAGTGGCTTTTTTTTTTTCCTAGTACATTTTGTATAGAAGAAAATGTGGCTATAATTTTCGTGCTGTTGTGGGTTTTAAAGCACATAGTCTTTGAGTTTTGGTTAGCTCCTGGTCCAGTGAGGTGGTCCTAATTCCCTTGCCCATGGATTGTGCCCAGGCTGTCTGTGTGTTTGGTACAGCAGGGTAGCACTAGTGTTCAGCAGAGGGGTAGGAATGGATTTAGAGGTATGCAGCAAGAAGAAGGTACATGCCCAGCTAGGGCAGTGTCACACATTTCTGTAGCTTCTTCATAGAGACAGTTTGCATTAGCTGAAGATCTGTTCCATGCACTTTGGTAATAGCCTGGGGAGGTTGAAAGGATTTCTAACCTCACAGAATTATTTATTGGAAAGAAACAAGAGCTAGAAAAACTAGAATTAAGAATCTTTTCTCCGTATGTAAATTATTTATTATGTCTAAGCTTACCATCTGCTTCTGAACAGCAAAGCAAGTTATTAAATTTAATATGGGTATTTAGTGCATCATGTCTCAAAGCTAGCTGGTCTTGCTTAGTTAAGCTATGGCCCGTTTCTCAGTGTGTGGGCTGTAGTGCTTTGTTTTTGGGCATTTTTTCCCTTTTTACTGTCAGTATATTCTGAATACATAGAGCTTAAAGTTGATTTGGGAAACGGAAAGAGAAAGTTTTCTTAAGAGCTGTTAATATTCTTAATGGACAAACAAGTCATGTGCTGACTGGGGCTTTTTATGATTAACATTAGGTTTTCTAATGACTGTCTATTTCTGTGTTAACATTTTAATCTGAGACCTAATATGCAGGATAATTACAAAGTCAAAGTGTCCTAGTTTAGGGCAAATCAGGAAGGAAAACTCCAAATGGGGATCTCCACAGGGAAATGCCCCTCCCCACCAACGGGTCCGGGAAAAGGGAAAAAAAAATTCCGTGGAGAGAAGTGGAAAAAGCTGTTTATTTAACAGAAATTGAGTAATATTAAATAATAAAACCTCTTGCTGTTGGATGGGATGGCAAGTCTAGGAAGAAAAGTCTTTTTTCATGTGGTGCAGCTCGGCTCGCTCAGGTTCTTATCAGTCCCTCCAGCGCTGGAAAAGTGCCGAGGCCCAGGCCCCGGTGGGCCACAGGCGTGAGCTCCCGGGGTTTGGCTGGGTGTTCAGTCCAGAGCAGGCTTGCACAGATCCAAGAAAATTGGAAAAAAAACAAAGGTCCAGGGAACTCCTCTGCCTCAGCTAGCTAAAACTAACTAAAAGCCAGAGAGAAGCTCTGTCCTGCTGTCTGTCCGTGCTGCAGACACCACAGTCCCGGAGCGGGGTGTGTGGGAGTGATGTTTTTCCTTAACACACTGTGCACTTCTTCTTCCCCCTCTCTTGCTTTCAAAGACAGTCTTAAAGGTGCAGGACTTTATATATAACATAAACCGGACGACTGGGGATACCAGTATCATAAAGTCACCCCAGGACACAAAGTCAACCAGTACACTTAGTATGTGCTTAGTTCATTCAAAGGTGAAGCCAAGGGCATGGTAGCATGTGACATGTTTGTGTCTGCTGTTCACCCATTTTGCTGGATTTGGCACTAAGGCAGTAAGAGTCCTTTCCCTGCTATGAGAGACTCTTTTCTGTGGCTCCTGTCTTTTGACAAAAGAAGTGACCCATTCCTTTTAGCTTGACACTTACAAAGTATAATACCATCATGTTCTAGTTTGCAGGAAGAATGTGCTTTTGAGGCAAACTTCTTGTGATCCCCACATGCCATGCTTCTCATCCCAAGGTGGTCCTGGTGTGAATGCACTGGGATCCTTTCAGACATCTGCTTAAGCCAGAAGATGCACTGCAGGAGCAGCTCATGTGCTGCAGCTGCTAAGGGCTGGAAGTCTACTAGAGTTTGTCCAGAATATAAAATACACAAGATGCATGTAATGTTGACATGAGAACTTCATACTTTTTTGCTGCATGGGTATACCCCTGTTGCCCCAAACAACTTGTCAACATAGTCATATAGTGCCACTTGTTTGGAATAGGAGTGCAGCTCAAATCAGGAAATATTTCCAAGTTAAAACACTTTGCTTCAAACCCTGTTCTTATTTATTAAATTTCCATGTACAATAATAACTTAATTTTTCTTGCTGCCTCTATTACGTACTGAAGTTATTCACTGTCTTTTATGCATTCTTTTAAATATGTGGTCTCATGATGTAAGCTTTGAGGCACACAATTTCAAGGAGTCCATATAAATAGTACAAATGGACAAGTCTTTTTATTTCACTCTTTGCCTGTATTTTGTGTTACAAGATCTTCCCCTTTTCCATCATCTGTTTGCTTTCCCTGTGTTTATGGATTTTCTCCTTTTAAAAATGGAAAATGGGGATTTATCATCCATTTAAAAATGGGTGTTAATATGATAAAAATGGGAATAGTAGGATAAAATAGAAGTTTTTACAAAGCATTTGCATGACTTACTGGCTTATACAGGTACATCATGTGGATTTTGAAACTTCTTCCTTTTTTCCTTCACCAGTGTTGACAAAATATACCCGTTCCTGTGCGCTAATGATTTTATCAGAGTGGCAGGATTCCAAGGGAGCAATAAGTTTGAATTACCTTATGGAATAAAGAGAGCAGGTTTGTATTTCCAATGTATCTTATTTTTAATCAGAAATACCCAAATGGCTTGTAAAGCCACCTGAATCTTGGCCATGATCTTTCCTGTGTACTGATGCCGATCCTTTTGGGGTGTCCAGCAGTGTCTTAAAGGTTTCATTCAGTCCCTCTGTCCTGACAGCTTCCTGTTTTTAACAAGTGAAACTGTTAAAAGGGGCTGGGGTAGCCCCTTTTAGCAGAGAAGCTCCAAAAAGGTGTGAGTGAGTAAGAGTGGACTTTACTCAGCTCCTTCTGTTTGTGTGTAGGCTGGAGTGCTAAAGATCCTATGCTTTGCTAGGAGAAATACTGAGTCAGTGTGATGGGCTTCAATCAGCACACCTAAGCTAGTTGGAATCCAGAGTTCTACTGAGGCAGAAGTCTTCAGGTTTAGGCAGTTACACCAGCGAATTTTTCCTTCACTCTCCTGGTTTTGACTGGAATCAAGTTAATTTTCTTCTTAGTAGGTGGTGCAGTGCTGTGTTATGGATTCAGCATGAGAATAATGTTGACAACACATGGATGTTTTAATTGTTGCTAAGTAGTGCTTAGGATGTTTTAGTTTTCCATGCTCTGCCAGTGAGCAGGTGTACAAGAAGCTCAGGGGAGGATTGTCAGGACAACTGACTCCAGCTGGAAAATGGTTATTCTGTGCCATGTGATATGCTCAGTTACTTAAACTGGTGGGGAGTTGTCCATGAGGGACTTGTTGCAGCCTGGGAACGGCACTGGCCAGTAGGTGGTGAGCAATTGTGTTCTGCATCACTTGTTTTTCTCAGGTTTTGTTCCCCGTTCTCTTTCCTTTTCCACACAAATTTTATCTTTTTCTGATTCTCCAGCCCATCAAGGGGTGGACCCTGAGTGGCTGTGTGGCACTTATTTGCCATCTGGGGCTGAACCATGACACTGAGCTGGCTGCTCCTGTCAGGGAGGGTGTCACAGCGGCCTCAGGGGGGAGTTGATGACACTGCCTGGCTGTTGGACCTGTGGGAAGGTTGGTTGACACATTCCCACTGCCCTTGTTGGTCAGGCTGGAGTAAATAGCATCAACACCCTAAGGTGGCCTTAGCCACCTTTTTGAAAAGGTTTGTAAAGAGTCAAATTTCAGAGTTTCTAACACTAACAGTGCACCTTCCTATTCTGGCCTTTTTAGACTTTAGATTTGCCTTCCATTGGTGGTAACAGGGATGGTGCATTTTCCTGCACTTCAAGCTTACAGTGAGGAAAATTGCATTTGGGAATGAGTTGATTCCTCCTCTGAGGCAGGTGCAGTGTCCAGCAGGAGCCTGCCCACCAGGGATGGGCTGGGGAGGTGCCTCTGTCAAACTTTGCCACAGGCTGGATTGATGTCTTCCCCAAAGATACATAATGCTGTTACTGTCCCTGGCTGTATGAACCCTCCTGAGTCAGCTGAAGGTGGATAGAAATAAAAGCAAAGTCAGTTAGGATGTGGATATTGGAAATTCTGGTTCTTATTTACTGTAATTAATATTTACTTTTTTTAAAATACAAATCTCATGATATTTTGTATTTTGAGGCAGAAAAAACTCAGACAGGAGCTTTGATAAACCTCGATTTCTTTAGCGTCATTAGTTGATCTGTGGCACTAAATTCCAAGTGTTCTTATTTTCATGTTTTTATGCACAGTGCAGTACTGTGTTTAAAAACATTGTGGTCAGGGTAGCATGCTTATTTTTGTATTGCAAATACTAAATGTTTTCCTTAATCTTGTTTATATTTGCTTTTTAGAGCAATTTTTTCGTTTAGCCCTTTCAAGACTGCAGAACTGTGGCCTTCCCAGTGAGGAAGACAGGTGAGATGGTATATTTGCTATTGTTTCTGTTAGTTGCATTTTTAATATTTAGTACTTACCTGAAAAGGAATGTCTGTGGGGTTATCCTGAAATTGCTCAAGTTGGTCAAGTCATGGAGCAGACTGACAGGGACCAAGTAGTGTGTAGCTGATTCCAAGATTTAAGTAGGCTTTGTTTTACACTTCAGTAGCACCAGCATGACCAGCAAGAAAAATTCTTACAACTCTGTGAGAGAGTGTTAACTTAGAGATTTCCTTTTATAAGTGTGTTAGAAATTCACCAGCTGAATGCAGTCCCATCTTCCTGTAGTACCTTTTTATACTTAGATTGAATGTGACCTCCTCTGGCAAATTCAGTGTAAGATGGAGAATGTTTGAGATAAGCAGGTGCAAACCAATGTCTGCTTCTAAGCAGAAGAAATCTTGGGCATATCCCTGTGCCTGTGCATCCGATGGCTGCTGCACACCCTTGTTCCTGTGTACTCGGCTTGCTCTCCTTGTGGACGAGGGAGACCTAGGGAGACAGGAAAGGCCTGGCTGTCATTTTGGGAGTGATAAGGGTGTGGAACGGAAGGGAGGCACATGCCTTAGATAATTTACCTCCCATGGATTAAATAGATGAAATCTTTAATTAGATTAAATCTCTCATTGGAAGCCATATCTGTCAGGAGTTTTGTTTTGTTTGGAAGGGTGTTTGTGTGTCTTGTTTTTTGTTTGGCTTTTGTTGGGATTTTTTGTAGGTAGGGTTGGCAAGTAGCCAGAAGTCCTGTGTTTACCAAGTGATGCAGATAACTCTTTAAATTTGCAGTCTAGCAAATGGGCTGACAACCTGTGAAGTGTGACGTTAATATAAAGACTTCTTAATAGAGTTGAACGAAAATAACGTTGAGGTTGGCTGTACTTGTTTTTGTTTTTTAATTACACATCATACAAGATTGCTGCTTGAAGCCAAATGTCAGGATCACAGTTGAAATAAACATGGGTGGAATATGTTCAAACCTAAGAATTTGTTTCAATACAGTTTTTCTTTTTTTCCCTACTGTACTCCTTCCTTTCTCTGTGTTTAGTCATCTTTCTAGGATGTTCAGGTTTACTCTTAAAGAAAAGGAAGGCAAAAAGTAAAACTCTGTTTTCTGTCAGGAGTGTAATAATGGAGTAAATTTATACAGAGTTGGCTAACAGAAGCTGCTCTTCTCTCTGGATTTTGAAGGAGAGTGCCAGCTGTTGTATTAGAAATTCCCTGAAACTGTAAGTTCAGGACCATAATTGTTTGTGCTGTAATGCAGAGGTGCTTGTACCTTTTTAAATGGAAATGCCTGTCCTGTAGATGAAAGTGAGGAAATTGGTATTCATCCTTTGAATGTAGATTCTCTGAGAGGTAGATGTGGCTAGTAGTTCTAGGAAGTATGCTTCATTTTATTAAAAGTAACATACTTCAGTGGTACTGAAGCAAAATGAGAGCTATTACTATTTAATAGGCAGTAATATAAACAAAGCAAGCACACGGTGACATCGTACAATATATCTTTGTATATCCACCAGGTTTTGTGTACAGCACTCTTCTGTCATGAAACACTGTAGTTGGAAAGAGTTTTTATGCATATATTTCACTGAGATACAGTGGCTTTTAAAAGTGAAGCTCTAGGAATTAATCTTAACAATGTTCTCCAGTAATACAGAATTATTAATAAGCTCTGTAATGCTGTTGTCCAATTTAGCCTTCTTGGCAGAACACAAACCAGATAAAGTCTTTGGTGCTTATATAGCTGTATTTGTGTACAACTTACATAAATTTGTACAGAGTGAGGTACAAAAGTTTTTTTTTTTCCTGGTGTCATTTTCCAAACTTAGGTCAAATTCCCACTGTGTAAAGGTGTAGCTCTCCTGAGGAGTTTGGGACTTGTTGAACAGTGTCACTGATTTCAGTTGAGTTGTGACTTCAGTCCCTCTCTGAGCACTCTAAGGACTCTCAGCTCAACAATTCTTACAAATGCATTTACAGAATCCTGAGTCAACAAAATGTGACCTCTACATCCTCGTTTCACCAAATAACCTCAAAGGAAATAATTTGCATTCCTCAAGTGACTATGGGGGTGTGTGTTAAAGGAGCTGAGTCTGAGATCTCTTTTTTCTTTTTTCAGTGAAACAGTATTTCAGTGGAATGTGGAGGATGTAAACCTTTTGACCTTCAGAGGCTACATTTCCATTTGGCAATATTTTTCTTCTATAGACTAGGAAAATGTTTCTTTTAGCATTTCACCATATGAACAAAATATATAAGCCAAGACTTGGCCTTGAGATTGAGGCTCTTATGCACCACCTGAATAGGGCAATGATTTGAGTGACTACTGCCTGCAGACATTAGAGATCAGTTACCATGGTGTTTGCACTGAGATCCATCTATACACTTAGTAGATCTCTGACACATGAAGGCAATCCCTTTGTTACTTAGGCCTTTCCTACAGCTATTGTTACAGCCAAGATCTTAATATTTTTCACTGTCACCAGTATTGTGCTACTGATTGTAAACTGAACATCCAGACCTTGCAATCTGTTATATTTTACTTGTAGCACACCCGATGTTGTTTAAGGATATCAAAACTAATTTCTTGTAATATATTGACTTAGAGAAAGTATAACTCTTTGGGGTTATTCAATTTGAAAGCATCATGAAAAGAAAATTTTAAGAAGTGAGGTTGGTAAAATATCTGGGAGTAACAGTCTGCTGAAAATTGGTGTGTTGTCCTCTGATCTGCTGGAAGTATAGGTCAGTTGATTTAACTTAAAAAATACATAGTAAAGATGAAGTGCATTTAAAGGTTCATATATCTATGTCGTGTGTTAGTTTTCTATGATACTATGCTCTGATTTTTTACAGCAACAGTTTCCCTACCTACTTATTGTTATGTGTACTGCTGTCGACTTAAGACTTAGGATCATAACCGAAGACATTTGAATACTGGGAAGGGAAGTGTAAGGCGAGGAGGAAATTCAGAAGCAGCACGTTTGTGCCAGACTTCCTATTTGAGCCAGCCCACTTTGATTCCCTGAGCCTGACAGAGATTAAAATCTGATTGTTTTAATTTGTTTGACTGTACTTGTGTACACTTCTTCAGGCATATTTGATCTGCTTGTTGACTTTACACATTTCAAAAGTTCAAATACTAATGTTAGATTCTTTACTGGGTGTTTGATGGCAGCTGATAACTTTGTTTTTTTAATATGCATGGCATATAAAGGACACTGTAATTAAAAAACTTAATCAAAGTTCAAACTTCACTGTGTTTTCTGTCCAAGTAGTACTAGTCAACTCTTAGTCATAAACAAAATCTAGTCTGCATTCATCAGTAAGAAAAAAGAGCTTGAATTTGACTTGAGAACAACTACACAACTTCTTGTAGCTAAGCAAACCTCAATTGCTCAGCTCTGAAGTCACTTTTTTTTTCCCCTCCCTGCCCTGTGTCCTGCTGCATCATGATTACAGAGAGGAGAAAGCAAAGACCTCTTAATTGTATACCAGAGTGGAGGGCATTATTTCATTTGGTAGAGATTAACTTACTGAACAAGTATCTTAAATCACCTCTTTGAAAAGTTGAAAGGTATGTAATAAGGAATTACTTTAAATTTATCTACAAGGAACAGAAAAAGCAGTGCCTCCTCAAAGTAAATGCCAGGACACATGATATAACTACATGTTGATCTTGTGCTTTTTGCCCCTTTCCCTCACTCCACCTTCATCACTTACTGATTTTTTCATCAATTTTTCCCTTTTCCTTCCTTACTTTGAGCTCAAAGCTATAGCTGTAAGCAACAAAGTGTAATTCAGGAAAAGGGTAACTTGTGCTTTCTTACTCCTGCTGTAAATTGTAAGAGGCATGTGTTCATCAGCCTGCTTCCTTAAGATACTTTAAAACTAAATGGAAAAATTAAGTGGAAAATGAATGGGCAGAAGGAGTAGAGAGGGAGGGGGTTTAGAGGTGTAGAGGGAAGGAGGAGTGTACTTCAGACAGGATGGTATAACAGGTTTTTACCCCTCTGATTTTCAAGATACCAGGTCACATGAGTTATGGTATTAGCTGGACGTCTTTTTGTGAATGCTTGCCTTCTACTAAGCTGTTCAGGAAACAGTAGAGAAAGGTGTGCCAGCTTTTTTTGTCACCCACCCCTGAAAGCTGCATTTAGAGTACTGGGGTTTTTTTAATATATATATGTGTGTGTGTGTGTGTATGTATGCATATATATACATGTATGTATTTAAAGGCAAGTATACATATATGTGTGTGAATGTGTGTGTGTATGCATATATATACATGTATGCATTTAAAAGCAAGTATCTCTGCAGATGTTAATTCTGTAGGAAATTCAGAGAACTGCTTTGTATGTTGAGATGTTGCTCAGTCTTGGCTGGAACCAGCTGTTTTCATTGATGTTGAATAATAACTCTCAGCTGAAAAAACAGGTTGGACTATTGGAGGAGAAAGAAGTTAATTAATCTGCATGGAGCGCCATGCTGGGAATTCAGTATAATTTATAGTGTTTTTTGGGACATGGTTTTGGTGTCCTGAACCTACAGCAGGAAGTGGCATAGAGCCTTTTTCTTACTTGAAGATAGAACCAAAGGAGTAGGGTGTTACTGTGAGGTGACTCATCCTCAATAAACTGTGAGCCTGCTTGTGTCTGAAGAAAATATCAACGCTTTTATTTTCTCATTGTTCCTGCTGAAACCAAATTGAATGGCTTTTTTTCTGAACAAAGAAGCATTTTTACAACAACAACAAATGATGTGCTTATTTTGAAAGGAGTTTACAGTCTTACATGTTTAATTTAAACCTTCCCTAAAAAGGCAAAGTTTCTTGAGTTAAGAAACCCCAGCAAGCCTGTTTGTGAGCTTCCTTCCCCCTTTTTTTAACATGTTTTACTAGCATTGAAACAAGATGGTAAAAAGTTAAATATGCACTGAGAAAACCTGTGATAACTTGGAAACTCTTATCCTTAGAATTTTCTTTCATAAGTTTAGCATCTCCATAATACCTGTTTTGTGTGCTTTTTATCTCTGAATGTATTGTAAATCCAAAATTACTGTTTTGATTTGTTGTAATATAAGATCTTAATTTTTACCACATAGTATTTTATATGCCTAGTAATGCTGTTGGATTTGAATCTGGTCATATGAGAATGCAACTTTTAATCAAGGAATCCATCTTGTTGTATCATGACAGCACACATCACTTGTTTAAACGTGTTTAGACAGCACCTTTTAAGTAGAGGGAGAAAAATCCACACCATATTAATTTGAAAAGTTCTCCTGTGTCATTGGGCTAAGATTTTTCACATGTACAGTTCATAGGCCTGTAAGGTGAATTGTGAACATAAATTTTGCTGCTTTAGCTTGTGTTGGAGATGTGGAATTGTATAATATTGCAGAAACATCTTAATATTGAGTTAGTTTTTCCAGACTGGGACAAGTTTGAAGGACTGAAGAGGATAATTTTTCAAATGGCACCCATATCATCAACTGGTTAGATGATCTTAAACAGCAGACCATTAGAAAAAGTAGATGTGTAAAAACAATTTCACAAGAGAGGAGCCAATTACTGACTTTGTCAGTCCCTGAAATAGTGCCTTTTTTTCTTTTTTAAAGCAGCCATAGTACATGATACAGGATTGAATCTGCTTTGTAGGGGCCAAGGGCTGTAAAAGATACAGGACCTCACTAAGAAAATAAGCCAGTTAACATGCAGAGGGAAAATTAATAATATGAAGCCAGAGAAGTAATGAATATTAAAACTTCTCTTTGTTCCACAGCATTGCCTGTCGACGGTGTGTTGTGGTTGGTAATGGAGGAGTACTTCGAAATAAGACATTAGGGGAGAAAATTGACTCATATGATGTCATAATAAGGTAAATGCTATCTGCTGTCTCCTTTTCATTTTGTGTGCATGGAGCAATAGGTAATTCTCCAAGGCCAGGTACTCTCTCTGCCCTTCTCTAGTGTCTGTGTTGGAGCCAAATCACAAGGTTTGCTTTCTGCTCGAGTGACACATGATAAGCAATTGTGATTGTATTCTAAACCACCTTGGCCAAGTTCCTGTGTCTGCTTAATCCCTCTGACTTTAGAGGGTGAGTGCACCTGATAATTGCTTCTCTGCTGTGTAATGTGATACGTAAATTCTGGGCTGCTAGACTTTCCTGTACCCAGACAGAGTGTCTGGCAGCCTAGTAACGGGTGTGGCAGCCACTGTACAGTAGGAACACGGGTGGGGCAGTCACTGATGTCTCTGTGCCTCTGTCCTCTGCAGAATGAATAATGGCCCTGTGATAGGGTACGAAGAGGATGTTGGGAGGAGGACGACTTTCCGCCTTTCTTACCCGGAATCCATCTTCTCAGATCCCATCCACTACGACCCTAACACCACTGTTGTTCTCATTGTCTTCAAACCACGGGACTTGAAGTGGCTTTGGGAGATACTTGGTGGTCAGAAGATAGTGAGTTCAGTTATTCATGTGCCTTGACTCATCTTGCCACACATCTCTTATGTGAAGTATATGTTTGCTTATAACCGTGGTCCTCCCAGCTAAGAGGAGCCTCAATGTCCTCCTAGTCAGTTTATTGAATGTCCCTCTTCCATAAATGCTTTGTCTTCTTTCTAATGCACATATTTGATCAGTTCCTCACCACAAAGCAGTTTACCTCTGGGAAATGTATTTTTATCCTTTCCCTAGTGTTGTTTGATATTTTAACGTGCATGCTCCAGACATTGCCCAGATTATTTTACCCTGCACACTTGCAGGAATTGCAGAATAATGTTTAAAGTGACCTCTCTCAGGTGGTCTTAAATCTAAAATCTTTTTGAATTGCCTTCATTAAGGGCCAGGTTCAAAGCCATGCCGGGTTCTCAGGGCATTGTCTGAGTACATTTTGAGTATTTCCAAGGATATTTCTCCAAACTTTGTTTCAGTGTTTCAGTCCACACGGAGAGAATTTCTCCTTGTCCTTTCACTGTGCGCCTCTGAGAAGCGTGTGAGCTCGTCTTAACCCCTTCCAGATACTTGAAGATAGGCTGAACACACCCAGTCTGCTCAGATGCTTTTTGTTTGCTGTGAGCTCTGGCCAAGGAGTGACCTTCTGCTGTTAGACATCCTCCTGCACAGAGGGGAGCCCGACACAGCATTTGTGGGACTACAGGAAGGGCACAGAGCAAAGTGCTTGAGAATGATAACTTCTGTCTGCCTGTTATCTGTGCTCTTACTAATGTGGCCAGCACACAGTGAGCATTTATGGTTGGTACATGTTGTCTTACCAGGGACCTTTCTGCAAAGGTCCAAAAGCTGATTTCCAGCCAGCTGGTCTCTGCTGCAGCACTGGGTTATCCTGTTGCAGGAGCAGGTGGTTTTGAGCTTAGGGAGATTCAGCACTCTTCTTTAACCCTGTGCCCTTGGACTTTACGCTTGCTAGAGCTGCTACAAAACTAAATTCAACTGTTCTTAGTTGTTAAAAATGTGTATTTACTTGCCTGTCACAGAGTGCGAAGGGCTTTTGGAAGAAACCGGCTCTGAATATGATCTACAAATCGAGTCAAATCAGGATTCTTGATCCCAGCATCACCAGGAAAACTGCTTATGAGTGGCTTCATTTCCCAACAAGGTTTCCTAAGAAGGAGGTATGCTTTTTTCTTCTGTCCCTTTCTAGTTTTGTGCAACCAAATGTGTATTTAGAGGCAATTATATCTTTATTACAGTAGACTGTAATGTAGAAAACCTTTTAGGTTTGCAATAAAGTAGCTTGCCATTTAGATGGTACTTAAAAAAGATGGGAAAATGGAGCCCAGAAAGAGAGTGGTTAGCCTTGTGTGCCAAAAGTACCTTTTTATGGGTTCTGTAATTGGTGTGAATTGAGGCTGCTTTCTAGACAGACAAAATGCCTTTAACAGAACTGGGGAAGACAGGCAGATAATGCAGCATGACAGATCCAAAGATCTTCTAGAAATAACAGGGAGTCTTGAACTACTGAATGTTGGGTGTTTTTCTTAAACCCAAGGCACACAAAACAACAAACAGACAAAAAACCCCAAACAAACAATGAAACCTCCACCAAAAACCAAAACACCAAAAATAACCCACACCAAACAACACCCATTCCACCCCCCAAACTCCAGAAAACTGGTAATTCTAACTTTGCTGCAATTTCACCCTCCTGGGGCTGGGGAGGGACTAGGGAACATTGAGGATATTCCAGCCCTGTGCTAATGGTGAATGGCTGGCAGCACGGTTGTGCTTGCTGATTCGATGCCAAGCATTGTAATGAGCTAACCAGCAATTTGGACATAAAAATACATTTCAGTTGTCAGTTCTTGACTGAAAAATGTTTTTGATGAAAGGTGACACTTCAAGCTGGGGAGGCCTGCCTTGTGCAGTCAGGATCAACCATACACTGTTTAGCTCAGAGACAGTCCCTGGGGTCACATCCCCAGTTCACCAAGACCACCCAACTGACATGTGTGGAAATGTCTGACAGGCTGTCACTGTGGAGTATCTGCCACAATTTTTTTCTGGTTTACTCTTTATAATATAATATTTGATGGGTGGAGGGGGGCAGGTTCTGTACCTCCGTCTAAAATTTCTTTCTGTGTTCTGAGCCTAAGAATGGCTTTTTTTCTCCTTTAGTAATTCTCAAACTGGAATAGTCATTTTGGCAATGTGCTTGCTTGGGCCTCTGTGGCATTTCAGCTTTTCAGCCAAGGGTGGCAAGAAAGCAGCATAGTAATTGGATGCCTGACTGATCTCCTAAGTGGCCACAGAACATGCATGGCCTCCGTGGGTCCAGAAATCCCTCCTGGCTCTTCTGGCTCCCCTCTCAGTGGGAGTAGACGTTAAAAGCAGTGCTGTCAGTGAGTCAGAGAGATGTGTGTGGTGTCAGCTGGTACAGAGACCCCTTGGTCACCCTTTGTTTCTCTGGTACCTTTGGGTGCCCCTGCACAGAGCTGGCTTAGTGTCACAGTGCCTAGAGTCCCCTTCTGCTGCCTCCATATATATCTTACTTGTTGCATGCCAGGGGATCTGCAGTCCCTCATCCATGTGCAGCAAATGATCAGTCTCAAGCGTGCTCTTCCTCCCGTCTTGGAGGTGGGCTGTGGCTGGGAGCCTGCACATCTGCAGAGACAGCTTGCACATCTGCAGTGGCCCTGGCACAGCTTGGTTAAGCTTCAGGTCACACCAGGGGCTCCTGGTGGGCAGGAAGGTGTCACACCAGGCCCCTCTGCACCATTGCTCGTCCCTGGGGAGGGCTGCTGCTGTCCTGTGCTTCAGCCCCCTCTGCCTGCGGGAGATGCCAGCGACCACTGTTGCTCTCCCTGCTGTCCCTGCCTTCTGCATTATCCCAGTCTCCCGTTCCCAGTGAGCACATTAGTGCATAGCCAGCAAGCATTACTGATTGTTAGTAGAGCCAGGAATAAAATCGGATGCCTCAGCACCACTAAACTCAGGAAGTGTAGTGGAGCCATTCCAGGGCTGCACCTACTCCCATTAAGTAGGCTGAAAATATTTAATTACAGGCCAAGGATATCTGAATATTGCATGACAGCACTAGTTGCTTTTAAATTACATTCCTTAGAGGTGAATTTTCTGATAGTTGAAGGTGAACAGAGTTAGTTATAACCTGTGATATTCCCAAATATCCCTGATCCTGACATGTAGCATTCCTGCCATAGTTTTGGGATCCTGTTTAGTATGGATGTTGCAACAGTCACCACTAAGTTCATGAAGTTGGGCCCCTAGGGCAGAAATTTATTTTGCTAACTGGCAGGAGCCCTGGGCATAGTGCACATTTTAAGCAGATACTATTTCTGGAATACTCCAAGAGTTGCATAAAGGTACCAAAAATTTCTCTGTAAAAGGTGATAGTTCATTTCTGTGACTTAAGTTAGGCTTAAAAGGATTGAGAACAGTAACTTCCTTCTGGGTATTTTTTGTGTTGTCACATAATGTGTTGTCACAAAGAGGTACATGGAGTGCATCTGCCTTTTCTGTGTGCAGAGTTGTCTAGTGGTGGTTTGTCTGTGTCTTTTTCACAGACAAACTGAGCCTTGGGTCAGAGTTAGAAAAAAACCCCAAGATTTTGTGCTCAGTTTGAGGTCTGACTGCAGCTGCTGAGAGCATATAGCTCATTTGGTCTCTGAGAAGAATCTTACTTTAGCTAAGAAGGATATTGGTACCTGAGAGTCTTGTCCATTTCTGGGGCCACTTTTTCACCTTAGCTTCATCTTGGTCGAATTAATGAGTTCATCTCTCTCTAAAAAAACTTGCTTCATTTACTTCCCCAGATCATATTAGCCTCTGCTGCTGCTAAAGAAGTCAACTTACTGTAGAGGAGAAATGATTTTATTTACAATTTTGTTTCTTCTAATGGGGATAGCAGGGAAAGGTCTAAAGCAAAATTCTGATGGAATTTCCCTGCTTTGAAGAAATGCAAATTCAGTCACATTTGTGTAGCAGTAGCTTTCATGCTTTTTTAGTTTGTTGCTATGAAAATTTGGGCATATCATGTTCTTTTCATCTGGGTCCCCATGATGTAGAAACTTCTGAACACATCTCATAATTCAATCGAATTTGAAGGGGTTGTAAATTGTTTTCCAGCGTAGTGAAGCCTGCTCAGTTTCATGAAAGTAGCTGAGCAGAGCAGTGGGGAGACCATCCTGATGCTTCTGTGGAGGGAAGGGCTCAGTCTGCACTAGAAACCAAGGAATCCCAGGGAAGGCTGACATGACAGACACACCCTGGTCATGGAACCTGGGCATACCTTATTCCTTTAGAGGCAGGAGGGGATCAACCTGTGAAACCAAATATCTGTAGAAGACCCAGGCTGTTTGATTTCCCTTGTCTCTGTTCTTAAGTTCTCTGTTCCCATCAGGCTGCCAGGTAGTTATTGTGTGTTCTCTTTGTGTTTTGTTATAGAAACCCAAGCATCCAACAACGGGGCTAATTGCCATTACACTGGCATTTCACATATGCCACGAAGTCCACCTGGCAGGCTTCAAGTATGACTTCACTGACAGAAATAGTTCTTTGCACTACTATGGCAATGAAACCATGTCTCAGATGATGCAGGTAACTAACACTTGTTTGTGCTGAGAAAAATAGAGCTGGTAACTGGAGAAGGCAATTCAATATAGATAGAAGTGTGAACTGCAGGTCAGAAAGGCCTCCCACCATCTCCTGGTTCAGCTGTGTCTTGTGGGTTAACATTGCTTGAATCTTTGTCTGCTGTTGCTTCTGAAAAATGTACATACTGATCTTTGTGTCCCTTGTGCTGTACCATATTCTGCAATGTCTGGATGAGATGTCCATTTGTGTATTGTGTTCTGCTTTGCTGGTGTTTTCCTTAGGCTGCACAACTCTTTTCCTAGAGATGTCTTTGTTAGCACTGTCAGCACATGAGCAGTGCTGTTTCTGCTCGTGTTCTCTTTTTCCTTGGCATACTTGTACTGTATGTCATAGCTGTCAAACTTCTTAAGAGACAAAGAAGAGCAAAGAGGAATGGAAGGAGTTAAGACCTATGAACTTATATAGGTCTTGCATAGGAAAAGAAATTAATTTTGGAAACTGGAAGTAGAAAAGCAAAGCAACTCTTGGAGGCAGGTAGGAAGAGAAGGAACTGCTTCCAGGAGGGGGGTAGTCACAACTCAGCAGGAAAGGGAGCAGCAGGAGGCTGGAAAACATCAGGAATGCCTTCTTCTCCCTGCTGCTTTGCTAAGGCCATCCTTCTCTTTTATGTCTCTGCTCTTGTATTCAGTTGCCTTCATCTCTCTATTTCAAGCAACCCTGTGTCAGCCCTTCACAGCAGTGTGAAGTTTTCTTTTGCATATGCATTGCATGTGGGTACCATTTTCTTTCTCTTCCATTTGCTGAAGAGGAAGGGTAGAGACAGTGCCCATAGGAGCCTTTCATGTTTCTCTCAGAACTCCTAGATGCCTGCTATTCTGAGATAATTTTCCTCTGACACTGAACTTGCCTTCCTCTGGAGGCTCCTCTCTGCAGGTGCTTTCTTGCAACATACACTAAATTTGGGTAAGGTTGATCATTAGCTGAATAGACATCCATAAATTTTCCTAAAGTCTTGAAACTTTAAAAACAAACCATCAAACAAAAATGTTAGTTCTTTTGTGGTAATAAATTGCAAATACTATACTACATCTGTATAATCTTTTATGCAGTGTTTGTATTATATGAGTGCCTGATGTGCTTTTCAAGAACCTGCACTGAGCTTTGAGGATTACTTACTTTCTGACTGCTTGTGCTGTAAATGTGGTTACACAGCTGTTGCTCTGAATAAGCAGGGCAAGGAGTTGGGAGAGTTAATAATGAGTTAATAATTCTGTGAGACCACATCTCACCTGTTCTTCTCACTGTTACCATTGTTTTTAGTTGCATCCTTACAGAAATATCTAATCTAGTTTTGAGCATGTTCTTGGGAAACTGTGCTAGCCTTTCCTAAGAAGTCTTTTCTCCAGACCTTTTCTGTTCTTAGCATCTTCCAAGTATCACAGGTAATAGAAAGGAACAGCCAAGTGATGCTGCTGGTTATAATTTGATTTTATGATTAATTTCATTATTCCCTCACATCTCTTTAGAATGAATACCACAACATCACTGCTGAGCAGAAATTTTTGAAGAAGCTTATAGACAAGAACTTTGTGGTCAATTTGACGTGAAAGCTGAATGGGAAACACAAAGAACAATCACTATTTTCAAGATTTGAAAAATTTTTATTTTTTGTATGACATTTTTATTTTTTAAGTGCAGCATAACTGTTTACTGTTTAAAGGAGCCCAGAAACCTCATCAAGGCAAAAGCTTCTATGCCTGAGGATAATGGACTATTGCAAACAGAGTTAAATGAATTTCTGTGAAGCTATTTAATAGTGGGAAAACCATGAAACTTTCAATTGAAAGTATCAGGGATATATAAAAACGTGATGCACATCACTTACTTACCAGTGAGAACTCTTCTCAGATGGTTAATTCTCTGGAATACTTTTGATTCTGATGTTGTTCTCCAAAAGAGTTCCACTGTCAAGAGACTGAGATGACCGGTGTTCAATCAGTAGGTGGATGTAAAGTCATGAATATCTGTCTCGTATGAAAATGGCTTTAAAACTATGCATCAAAATCATTACTGTGATTGGAGAAGGGGGAACATAACAGACTGTGCAGGTCTTGTTCTGCCATACTCCTGAGGAGAGGATGTCCACCTTCAGCCAAGCAGCCCACAGCTTCTGCACTGACCATCACCTCTGAGCTTCTGTCTGCCTCTGCCGAAGTTGAAGAGCCTTGGTCCAATTTGTGGAGATGTTGGTGTTGACAGTGCTTGTGTTGTACCCATTTCATGGAAAAATCATACTCCCTGTGCTGTGCATCCAGTAAATTCTACACTTGCTGACTTGACTTAAAAAGAGGGAATATGAAGACTGAAGAGCTGTCCGAACTTCCTGTGTGTCAGCTCCCAGACCACACCAGAAACACAAGCTTGGACAGAGATGTTCATGCCCGAGTTTAGAGTCAATGTTTGTTGGAGTCCTAGTTCTCCATGACAGCATCTCATGTATTTTTTCGTTTGCTCCTCAAAAACAGGTGGATTTTTCCAAACAAGGACAACCTCCTTCCTCAGATGCTGTAATACATCAATACAAACAAGGAATACTCCCATTTTTGGCAGCAGAGTGTGGTAGGGAGTATCCAGGATGTACCTCAGCTGATTTATCATTTGGCATCTGTTTACCTCTTTTGTCTCGATATTTAAGATTCAAGTGCGTGGCTGAACTAAATCATTTAGTAATAGGAACTTAATTGACATTTTAATTGAAACATTTAATGGGATGTCTGTTTCCTGTATTGGTTTGTCTCTGACAAGCCTGTGAGTAAATTAAATCTTCCTGGGAAGGTGCCTGATAACTGTCAAAGAACAGCAGTATGCTGTTCCAGTTCTCTCACAGGACACCTGTGTAAAGTTTTTATTTTAATTATGGCAGAATTCCTGGAAGATCTTGTGGTTATCTTTAGCAATCATACCTTAAGAAGGCAAAAATAAGTCCACTTAAAAAAAAGTCTTTGAAGTTGGTAGGAATACCATTGTTGCTTTTAAATGAAATTATATAGAGGGTACATTTAGGAATAATGCAAACAATAGTGATAAGAACATAAACCATGGTATTTGTTATTTTCAGAAGCTGAGGATTTCAAGAGTACTGAACACAATTTATTTTACTGCAGCTATATAGAGGAATAAGCATTGAAGTAACCAAAGAGTCATCTTTCTTGTGGGGTGCAGGGGTACTTAAAAAAACCCAACAAAACCACAAACACCTTCCCATAGTTCTCGTTTCCAGCTTTAGCTCCTTGGCTCTGCCCTTTGGGAATTAGGAAGGGCAGTATGGTCTGGAGAGGTGCCAAAGCTGAAGGGGAGGAGGCTTGTGTTTCCACTCAGTGATTCCTGAGCTTTGGTCTATTTTCCAGCAAGCTGGACATACCTGAAATAACTCAAGATGTCAGAAAAATCTGTTGCATGAGGTGGGTATGGATGCAGGTGTGTCCCAGCAAGGCACAGGGTGTGCCATGGTGTCTTGTCTGCTGTGTGTCCCATGGGTGCAATTGCACTCCAGCTGTGTGCAGGGTGGCAGGTGGGAGTGTGGAGGAGAGGGGAGAGTGTGGGAGGGTTCTGGGCCACTGGAACAGGTGACTCTGGTGTTGGAAATGGAGGAAATCACAATTTCTTCACCATCTGGCAGAAGGGCTATTAACTTTTTGTAATCTTTATTTTTTCCCAAGACTTTGAAGAGGTCTTTGCTTGAAAATCTGAATACAAACAAGTGGGGTTTCACTTAAGAAAATAATGACAGTATTGTCTTTGTCACTACCAGTATTTAGTTCTCCTGGTTATTTTGGTTAATTAAAAAGGTTTGTATATGATTCTGCAGCCCCAGATGTACAGTGATTTAAACTCCTGACAATAATAATTCCACCTGCAAAAGTTGCTGTGGCAAGGCTTTTTGCAGGCATAGCAGTGTTCTCCAAGCTGTTGCTGTGGAGGAGCCCCTGGTAGATCTTGGACTGTGTTGAGAGCCAAGGCTGGCAGAAGTGGGGGGCTGCCCCTTCACCCTCAAAATTCACTATTGCTTCCAGAGCTGGCACCCCCAGCTCTCCCAATGGCTGCTGCCATGGTCCAGCTGCATCCATGTAACATCTTAAAGGATGCTGTGCAGGAGGATTCTTTTCCCAGGAGAACTGTTGAATTTGTTTCAGACACTGTGGGGAGAGTTCTTGTGATGGTGCACACTGCATCCCTCTCCTTCTCCACTCCTGTCCCCAGTTCCAGGAAGTGGGTAGGGAGCTCTGCTTTTGAAGATGTGGTTATTTTCTCTGCTTTATTTCTTCTCCAGAGGTACTTTTCTCACTAATCTAAACTGATTCCTCCAGTTTTTCTAGTAGGTTTTCTGTTTTTTTGTGGGGGGATGAGATTTGGATTCTAGCTGTAGCAGAACAAACAAAATAATTGAAACAAAAAAAGCAGCTTCATGGCAAATGAATGGTGTCTCCCAAACTCTTTGTACTTAAAAAAAAAATCCCTTTAGTCTTTTTTACTTTTGCCACATCAACTTTTTGATCTCCCTAAAGTACTTTTCTAAAATAATGTTTGGTGTTCTCGATGAATTTAATAATGTTCTCTAAAAGCACTTGTCCATATCAGCTGTTTCTTTTTATATCCTAATAAACCTTCCCATTGTATGACTGACTTATTTTTCAAATTAAGCAGTATTTTCAGGGATATTTTTCTCCCACTTCTGTGCTCCTGCCAGGGGCATTAAGTCCATAGTTATTGTCCCAGGATGACTGGGTAATACTTTGAATGAAACCCATTCCCTCAGGATCAGGCCAAGAGCTGATGCTGCTTGTAAACCATGTGGTTTTTTGTTTGTTTGGTTGTTTTGTTATTTTGTTTGTTTTTCAAGTTTTGTTTTATTGTTGTTTTTGTTGGTTTTTTTGTTTGGGTGCTTTTTTGTTTGTTTTTGGTTTTTTTTTTTTTGAAAGCCCAGTTTGCAGGCCAGTAGCATTTCTCCTCAGTAATAAGTAAAGCAGTAAGTAAAGTCTCCTCAGTAAAGCTAGGTACTGACTTTTTTTTCCCACAAGATGTTTTTAGGATCCTGTGTACACCAGCTCTGCTCCACCACCTGCTTCATGCACATCATTCCTGATACTCTGCCTCGAGGATGAGTCTTGCTTTGGCACTAACTTCATCCAGGCAGGAGCACCCACGTGTAGTGTTTCCCAGCAGTGCTCACAGGTTACACTTCTGTTCTGCCTGAGCACACATTTTCACAGGTGTTTTGCAGTACCAAAGACTTGACTTGGGGCTTTTAGAATAAAACAATAATGCTAACACCAAATATTTAGATAGTTTCTGAGTGTGGGCTGCTATTAAGACTTCCTTTTTCCCTTTTTGCCATTCCTGAAAATGAAATCTCTGCACTGAAACTTCCCTTTAAAACCTGTCCAGTCTTTTTTTTTTTTTTTAATTACATCAGGTGTGAAGCTGCCAGCTTTATTTCTGTGTCTGATGAACTTCTGCATTTTATCTGCCACCCCTCACAAAATGCTGCACTGTCAGAAGGACACGGTTCTAAGATACCAAACCGCGCACAGAACAGGCAGGATGACACGTGTTGGCTGAAAGCTTTGTTTGGCTCTGTCCTTAAGGATGTTCCTTCTTTGGGAAACTATTTTGTACTCTCCTATAATAATTAAGAGAAGTCACAGACTATTGCATTAAATGTGATTCTGAGAGTGCCTAAGAGGTGTTACTGAGCAACATTTCCAGTGACTATACAGGTGATAATAATAATGCAGAATCTCAACTTTGGTGTTTAATTAGCATGTGGTACTTCTTGTTTCCAGTGCCATACTTTCCTTTTTAGCAGTGCTCTGGGGGAGAGTATAAATACCTTCACTTTTAAGTGGATTCTGATTTTTAAGAACATACAAAGCTCAACATATGTTTTTGGTATTAGGAAATACTTATTTTATTTGCCACTTGTCTTAAGTTTTATATGCCTTTAAAGTGCCACCTGTATTTTGAAGAATTCTTACAGTTGTTTCAAGTGAAATTTTGAATTCTACAAATGGAAGGAGATTATTTTCCTGTGAATAAACTGTTAAAGACAGTGCCCTCGGACTTATTTTTGCAAGGCTGGTGCTCTGTGTGAGTGTGGATGTGTGGGTATGCCCAAGGCCATTATTATTGGTGTGTAAAGTAAATAGTGGTGTCAGATAAGGTATCAAGTTTTGGAACAAACTTTAGTGCTTTGTAGAGCAAACAGCAGAAAGTTTTTGAACCTAGGTGGGCGGAGTTACATTGTGGCTGGAGATCTAACTCCAGGCTGAGTACAACCAGAACTGGGACATGTTTTTTGTGGATTAAGATCAAGAGCAGCATCCTTGTGATTCAGATTTTTCATTTGTTTTTTGAATCTTGGTTTTCTTAATGTGGACTGTTGGGGGAATGCTAAAATAAGAAATGTAGAACAAAGAAGATGGTGTGTGATAAAAAAGAGAGATGCTGAGTACAGTACTTAGCTCATTATTTGTTTTCTCTTTGTGCAGTAAAAATGAGATGCAGAGGGCTTCAGGGAGTCCAAGGAAGATTTGGATAACAGTTCTCTGGCACAGTGTGTATTCAGTGCATTCCTTTCAGTATGGACATTCAGGAGTTCAGCAGCTTGGAGGAAATGCTTGTCTTAGAGGTGAGGTGGGGAAACCACATCAGTAGAGCCAGCATCTCTGGGCAGCCAGTTCTGCCTTTCCAGGCAACACAAGCCCTTAGCAGCAGCCTCTGTGGCCGATTCCTTGGCTGCCCCTCTGCCTTCTTGAACTCTGACGTTGGCTCTTGCTAAGCAGTATCTGTCCCCACGGGCTACCTGAGGGAGCCATTCCCTCTTTGTGTTCCCCCCAGCCCCTGCTGTGTCCTCCCACCAAATGGAACGTGTTCCCTCTCTGGCTTAGAGCATGTTTTGCCAGGAGATGGGAACTAGAGAAAAGGGTGTACCTCTTAATTTCCACCCCCCCACCTCGGGCTGTCAGTGGTTCCAGAGAGCCCTTGTGGTCTGATAAATGAATTCAGGAGGTTGAATGTTCCTTCTGATAGTTCTGAATGAAGACAGGATTGGGTTTTGGTTTTATTTTTAAAGATATTTAATAAGATATTTTTTTCAAATCAGTACAAAAATTTTAAATACAAAATTATTTGCTTTTGACGTATCTCATATTCTGGGAACATACTGAAGTCACCAGTGTCTGGTAAACTGTCCGTCCATTCCTGCCACCGTTCCATAAAATTTCTGAGATAAAGCACCACATTGTATCACTGGAGTCCTTAGTCAATGTTAGACCGCATTAAACTCTGCATTTAAATAATGGTAATGCCAGTTAAATCCAATCTTAGTTCTCCATGAAAAAAATCTAGGTTCATTTTTGAATCAAAAGCAGTAGCGGTAGCTAAAGACATGGAAGAAGTGATGAGCACCTAACTTTTTGACCTAGTGCAGCAGTGTGTGATGCGCAGCACTGTACAGGGAACCACAGCAAGGTCCACTGCCCTTGGGAAACAGAACACTTGTTGAGGTGAGATTAGCACCATTGATGAGCAGACAGAGACTTCGTGCACAGAAGTCGCTGTCCTCAAGTATAGAAAAGTATTGAGGCCTGCAGGTTCTCCTTGACAACTGGTAATGTATAAATACAGATTGGAAATCAGCTTTTAGATAGAACCAAGTTCTTGGATAAATTTGCATGATCAGTGTTGCCGGTAAAGTTAACTGGTTGATCTCAAGCAACAAATCAGTTAAGCAAACAGAGCTACTTCTGCTTTGCCTAGTCATTGAAGAGTAAACTGATTCAGCTTTTGCTGAGTGGCAGAATAGATGTCTTGTCTGACAAGCCAAATGGGTTCTCGGTACAAGCACAGAAATCCAAGTAAATTTATGCCACCCTGAAGTATTGTCATGTGTTGGCCGAAATGTCTCAATGACGTGGCACAAGTAAATGGGGAAGATTTACCTCATGTACTTGAGCTGTGTGAATAGAGAATGGAAACTTTCCAAGTGCTGTGGCGTTTGGAGGTGAAACCAGTGCCTGCCTGGAGTTGGTGGTGACATTTTAGTTCCAATGACTGCTAGAGGTGGCTCAGGGGAATGATCATGCCATCAGGATTCCTCTTCCATCATAAATAAATTGTTCAGGAAAAAACCCACACCTGCAGGATTATTTTACTACAAGGGAAGGGAAATACAAGTCTCCAGCTAAGAGAACCTTTGCTTGTCAGGCAGACCTGCTGTCAAAAACCCAAGAAAACCCCCACCCAGACAAATAAGCCACTCAAATTTCTTAATATAATTAGAGACTGACCTACTCTGGTTTAAGTCACTGTTTTTCATCTCATAACTATGATCAATGCAACAGGAGTGAGTGACATACACTGATTTGAACTTTAGTACTGAATTACTGTGAATGAAATTAAGTAAGCATGGCATTGCAGAAATATATAATGTACAGCTAATATGTCCCCCTTGGGTGCAAAACAACTGTTTATGAACCTGATACACATCTTTAGATATGTTCACCACACCTTTGTTTTTTATAAGTAGCTGTGCATAATGTTAAACTTTGTATTTATTTTTTTGGTTTTGTACAAGATGGTCCAAAATGGTCATAAAACGCGTCTTTCGTGGTATAAAAGTTTGAAGCAGCGGAGAAAGGTTTTGATTTCGTGTGTGTGTGCTGTGTGTGTGTGTCTGTTTCGTTTTACATGGGATACAATAAATACCCTGAAAAAGACGAATGAACGTACTGCCCGGCATAGAGTCCTGCCGCCTGCTCGGATGGCATCTGAACGTAAACCTTGTCTCCGTGCATCAGCTGCACCACGGCGCTGCCCGAAGCCTGGTCCAGGAAGCCCTTCTTGTACTCGTCGTAGGTGTACATGAGCGGCTCGTTGTTCTTGTACAGCGCCACCCACACGTTGGCGCCTTTACAGTGGACGTGGTAGGCGAAGTAGTAGACGCCGGGGATCTCGCAGGTGAAGATGCCCGTCTGGGGGTTGTAGTTCTGCCGCCCATTGTACAGGAGCTTGTCGAACTTTATAGGCACCCCGACGCGGGGGAAGGGCGTGAGGAGCTCTGCCGTGAACGCGGGCATCTCGTACACGATGCCGCCAGCCTTGCCTTTCTTGCCCTTGTAGCCGTAGGGAGGCTTCACGCCGTCTATGCCTGGCCCCACCTCAGGCAGGTACTGTCCCACGGCGGGTGGGGTGGGCG